TAAATCATTATTCAGCAAAAAAAGAATAGAATAAATAAAAGCACACGTTGTTGGAAAGTATGCATAAGGTGTCAATTATAAGTAAGTACTCTCATAAAGTACCTTAAAATTATATTTTTTACAGCACTTCAAGTTAAGCCATTCTTAGAAAAGAAAAAGATTCAAATATTTTTTTCTATAGGTCTATCATAACGCGTGCGGTAGAGGGTTAAAGCAGGTGGTAATTTGCGTTGCTCTTGGTAGATTGCGCTGGTCATTATGGAAATGATTCGGCTGCGGCTGTGTTCTTTAATGTGTGCATTTTTAGTAAATCACTCGCAGAATTTTCCCCTCCCATCGGCGCTTTTATGGAATTGCTCTCTAACGCTAATTTGCCGTTTAGTAAAACTGGCCCTTTGACACTAAATATTTTCTTAAAGTACCCTCTTAGATTTTAAATTGATATTCCAATAATTTGACAGCATAATAATAATAATAATAATAATAAAGTTTTTAATATTATTTTTCACTAATTATACATTTTTTATTTTTAATAATAATAATAGTTTTTATATTATTTTCACTAATTATAAAATTATAATTACTGCATATTATTATTGCAATAGTCTGAAACACGCAGTCATGTAGACTAAAATAACAACCACATCTGTTTATTTCAATTAATTGTGCAGTTCTATTTATTTACTTGATTTTTAAATTTTTTATGATTTCTTTAAGCTTTTCTTTAACTCACGAATCCCCTGTTCCCTCACAAACCCTTGGGAAACCCTGGCCTGTTTTAACTCAAAACAATTTTCCATGGCCATGTATTTGCCTAAGTATGTAGCTATATAAAAATTAGAATAATGTACAGTCATCCAATGCTAATTGCAAAACAAACCCCAACAGGGAGATCAAAACACCCCATGCTTTGCATTAAGGTCTTGATCACTCCTGCATAATCAGATGATAATGACCGGCTCACTCTACATTACCATTACCAAGAAAATCTATTGTTCATTTACATTTATTTATCACGGCAAGTCTCTTTTGGTGTGTAACGTATATGTGTGTGATCTGCACAAGAGTCGTGTTGTCCCTAAGTTCAAACATCGGCCTGTTTAAGCTAACTAATAGCCGAACTGATGCCATCAGTTTATACAGAGAATGTATCTCACACTGTCAACTACCCAAGCTAATGAAATCGAAATGACAAGGCTGACTCAGTGAGTAATCTAATATGATATTCATGTAACTAAATAAAATCTGTGCGCAGATCGTATCTGTCATTGTTTGTCTCTGGGCGGAATTCTGTCCCGTTTTACCAACGCTGACAAAGGAAGGTGACACATAGTGAGACAATGTACTACACTATGTTCTACAGTACATCTATGTCATGCTAAACGGCATGTGGCCTGATTCGTTTCGGTAATTAGTCCTATCTCATATCTACTGCGCCCCAAAGCTAATGACGTTGGGAGAATATATTTGCATGTGGCATCTTTTCACATTCATGTCTCAAATTCTCCACTTTGCTGATTGGAGACTTCAATAAGGGACACGATACTGTCATCTTCCTCCCTTGTCAGGGTGATTAAATTCATTAAAAGCTCTTCAAGTAATTGCGGCTCATCTACAGCAGAGCAAATATTCAATTAATACAGACAATTTAATAACTGTGATTCCCTCAATTCACAGCACATAACCTTGATGCATGTCTGCGCCTGATTAATTGGTTTTCTATTCTGAGGTCATTTTAATTTCCTTTAACTATTCATTAGTCCATTTATCATGCTGTGGAGAGCCTGGCAATGTAAACTCCACTCTGACAGAAACTCAAACACATATGGAGTGATTTCAAACACACTCATCAAGGACTACCAAAATATTCCTGTGGAAAAAATGATTTGTCTAACATGTTCCAGGAAATCAGAGGACAGGGGGGTTTTCTTGGTTATCTGAAACGATCTCTAAAAAAAGATCTAACGTTTTCAACTCATGAACTTTCCATGCTGATATATTTATCAAGCAAAAATCTAGTAAATGGCTTTAAATGACAGCAATTGACCTTTTTTAGTTTAGGACACACCCCTTTCATGAAATTGTTTCAATGTGAATTGCTATTCTTTTAAATTACAAATAATGAATGCAACAAATTATTTCATAAGACTTGGCATGTCAAGAGTGCTTTGGCCAAATTACCATGCAGTGGATTATTATCCTTCCTTTCTCTAGTCATTGACTGATCTGTATGAGTATGAATCTCTGCCTCTAGTGACGCCACATGCACAACCTCAGTTACCCACTGCTGATGCATTTGAAGAGAGGATTTATTAATATGCAAAACATGCCATCCTCTCTCTATTGACAAACAAATGATGGCAATTTTATGTGGTTAGTTGATGCATAATGTGCACATGGATTTTTTACAAACAAAATTTATATAAATATAGGCATGTTTAATTCAAAGTGTGTAGTTGTAAATGCCTGTGAAATTTACTAGCAATTTCTGAGTGAAAATGGTTTCTTGTTTCTTCCAATGTATCTATAACTAGTTAATTTTAAACCGTCCTGCAGTGTGACAAACCATCTCGAATGATATGAGGTCAAAGCTGCATGCATAATAATAATAAAAATGCTGTTGGAGTTTAGCATGAGACGCTGCAGGATATCAGCTACTGTAAAAACAGCAGTGGAAAATAGTCATTCAAACTAAGCACCATAATTTACTTTCCTAACCGTTCTGAATCTAGCATAACCACTGATCTAGATGCATTTTTTTTCACTAAAGCAGCATTTTCACAGTTGATCATAGCACCTTGACACTAGAAACAATGTTTACTTTTCCCAGGCAGCTCACCGCACTGACACTGTAGCCATGCAGACGTCACATAAGACATGGTTTACCTTTCGTCCGCCAGTATTGAGCCTCAGTGGTGTCAAGAAGGGATCAAATATCATATGGCTCGTCTCAATGTTGACTGGAGACTGTCTCTTCCCCACAGAACACAGATTCCATGCAGAATTTACAAGCCCCCAGAATGATGGCACTGCAACGGGAGAAAGTACACAATGATGATTTGCAGGACATTCTTCAAACAATCATAATCATTTGTTTATAATAAGTAGTCTTATATTGAATTTATAATAAATGAGTGAATAAATAAGAGCCACAAGTGGATGTAATAATTATAAAGCATAAGATAATATGTAAATATTTCCAAAAAACTTTGAAATGGAATCTTCTTCTTTTTTTTATGTGTAATGATGGTAATGTCATTTCCTGTGATGACTATTCAAAACTGGAGCAGTAGGGGAGCGTGGGGCACAACCTACCACTTTTTGAATTTCTGAGTTTGTGTAAATCCATGTGGGGTTCAGAGTATAATTTTTTTTATACACATTAATTTCACACTTGTCTAGTACAAGTATGTCGCTTTGTTTCATAATTACAGTGTATACGTTTTTCGTTATTTACCTGAAAAGAAAGGAAGTGAATTGTGACAACATGCTCCGTAGGTGGGGCACATTGTAACATGACCATATGACAGCTTAAAATGTTATCTGATCTAATGAAAAACATATACAAGACAAACTAAAATATTTCGTCAATAAAATAAAATTATTAAATTTTCAAATAAAATAATGGCATTTTTTAAGAATTAAAAATAATCTAATTTTGGAGTTTGACAATGAACACATTGCAACCATGCTTGGGACGGCCCTGATCGCAAGACACAGCTATAAAGTATAGTTCAAAACAAAGTTCCACACACAGCTCTCATAGAACATGAGATCAGTTCTCATAGATATTGACAGCCTTTATTCACCTGTTTCTTGTGGTTTCTCAATAAAATCCATAAAAGTAAATAGTGTAAATTACATTGCTATTGTCATCCAATAGCATAGTTCTAATAATAGCGGGGCACATTGTAATGCAGTGTTACGACGTTCCCCATCTACGCAACTGGAATTTAAAACCGGTAAGTGTCTTTTGCTAGTCAGCGAAGCATTAATAAACGAATAAATAATAATAATAAATCTAATCTAATCTACTAACAAATCTAAACTGATAAATAACAGATTGGAGATTAAAATAATAGCAGATTTGTCTCATTTTAAATGAATACTAAAAACTGAGATGAAAAATTTACTTCAGCCAGAAAATTTACTTTTACTATGGTAAAATAAATATTCAGCGATATCTTCAAAAGGCTTTTGAGTTTTGGCACACTTTTTTCCTCTATATGTAGTGTTGATATAGCAACTAGTAAATACCGTAAATTTGGTTATAATAATAATAATAATTAATAAAGAAATAAATAATAATAATAATAATACAAGACAATTATGAGCAAAAGTCAAAAGTACTAATTATGGTGGTTTGGATGCAATAAAAAAATAACAAAAAGGCATATGCAAATGTGTAACATAATGCAAATAATGTAAACATTATTTGATGAAAGTATCTAGTTTTTGAATACAGACAATATTCACCAATATTCTTTTCTTTTTTTTTTTTTACAATGGTGTTTTTTCAAACAATTAAAATTAATTCAGGTATCCCCATGTCTTCTGCTTTAAATACATAAAACGTTCCTTACAGCTAAAAGAAATAGCACCATATAAAAATGAAGATGATTAAGGGATACTAATAGGTATTAAAGAAATGATATTACTTCGAGGTATTCTCTTATTTCAGATAGTGTGTTAATATAATTACCAGCAATCACTGTTACAACTGTAACACTATGACTTCTATTAATTTCAATTTTATGATCTAGCCTTTCTTATTATAAGTCTATTAATGGCTACGGCTCACAGCTACGGTTTCTTATACCAAAAGAGGCCAGCTAGATTTGTAGCAGTGCATTATGAAGGAAAATGTTCAAAATGTTACAGCTGCCCCAGGTCTCCCTTTCTCATAACTCTTTGATACTAATAAGAAAGTCGGTGCTACAATATCCCTCTATTCTTTTAAATAACTTTATTCAACATCTGAGTTCCAGCAGCCCATGACATTTTCAAGCAATTTAGACGATTTATACAAAGTGTTCGCCTTGGCATTTTCACAGCGTTGTGCTACATGCACCTCCAGCTGACAACCATTACATGAGATGATTGGCAGCCTGCAAAACAGGATTCTTTATTAATAATTTATGAGCAGTCAGCGGTGTGGTTAAGGACCTCCAAGCTTGCATCTTCTATCAAGTAAATTCCACTCCTGGAATATTTTGGTTGGGTGACATGACCCAGTTGGCTTTGCAGAAAAGCGACGACACATAGCACAATTCATAATTTCTATCCCACCACAATGACATCAACGCCTCTGCCCTCGTTTCAGGCCTCCAAATAAGTAAAGGCTATTCATAAATCACTGTTTCCATTGTCCTGAGAAGCAGAAGCAGGTGGTCTCCACACCATATTTTTCATGTTGTGAGTCGCCATAATTTGAGCCTGCATTTTCCCGAACAAAGCACCACCTGCTGTTTCCTGTCATGTGAGCGTTCAGCTATTCTCCTTGAGAGAATAACTTGACAAAGTAGCAGCGTGTACACACTCTTTCGTACACGAAAAACGAACACAAACCCGGACACATGCGCAAAGGACGTGTAATCTCTTCGACCCCCTAATGCTATGCAAAGAAGGCCTGCATATTGTTTGGGGACAATTCCTGATAAACAAAAGTGTGGCTCAACTGAGGCAACTGAGTAGCTTTGTGATTAATAAAAGCACGGCTGGTTGGTGCGGTCGGCCATCGCTTCAGTGGCGTTAACTCAAAATTAACAGCCGGCTGCTATTCCACTCTCATTTCCTGGCATTTCTGCATTAGATGGTGCAGTGTAGAGAATGAAAATAGATTCCAAAAAATGTTGAGTCATCTCTTATTTAGGAAAGCGTTGAATTAGTTTGTAATGTCCTCCAAGATGCAGGCAGAACAATGGGAAATAATTCAGATCCTTCTACATCAGTCACTGAAATGACAGGAAATCTATAACAGGAATGGGGCTGCAGTGTGTGGAATCGATCCGCTAAACACAGGTGACAATGTCATAAATGGTAAATACTTATTACCTATTGGTAGCTCTAAAAGAACAACCACAGTCAACAGCTTTTCACCTTTGGCAATAAAATAATCCATGTGTACAAAATCAAGCTGAATCTTCACTTTAGATAAGCTGCATGTTAAAGATAGATTTAAAATACATTAATCTGAATAGCACTGAGTTTTACGCTTAAGGGATAGCAGTTAACATATCACTGGAGGGGAAGATTTTCAACTATTTTAGTCTGCTCTTCACACAAATCTATTGTATATCTTCAGAAAACATATAATATAGTGTATTGATTTGTAGGGATGGCTTTTATAATATTTTGCATCCATTTTTCAAGCTTGTAAGCTCAAGTTTCCAAAAAAAAAAAAAAAAAACCTAAAATTTTTGTTCCATGCAAAAAAGTTCCAAATACTGTATGGCTTTGGAATGACCTGAGAGTGAGTAAACATTTTTGAATGCATGGTTTAATTGCTTATCTCTCAGTGTGACTGGACACATCAGAGCTGGTCTTTCAAAAGACAGAAGAGGTTGTTCTGTTTAATGACCTGTATAAACTTACTTAAAATTCAAATATCCACTTTAGTGCAAGGCTGCAAGCTTTTTATCTTTTAAGGCCCTAGGACATACAACCTGGTTCTCGTTTCAACCAACTCCGTGAGGTATCTATTTAAACATCATTAATCATATAAATGCTGGATGTTGGCCATTTTTCTTTCACTATCCAGGCCAAATAACAAATGAAATTAAATGAAATTAAAATAACAATCGTGATATTTAAATAATGAAATATTGTTATAATGTTAATTAGGGGTGATGCAATATACTGGCATTGGCGATATTTTAAAATGAACAGTTCACATAGGACAATATGACATAATACAGGAGTAAAAATACGTTGTTATTCTCATAAATTGTTGTACTTTGATGCAGCAGTGAACTAAAAATGGTTAGCATTTTAGTGTCTTCTTCTGTTTAATGTAATTGTTCTTTTTGAATGCAGTGGTGTGATTTATTGGTCAAAAAAAGGGGGGGTGGGGAGATGAATTTGACTGATAGCCTGGTTTATTTATATATTTTTATATTTCAAGATTTCCATATATATATATATATATATATCACAATGTATGGTTATTTTGAATATAAATATATATTTTCACAGTTCTCCTATCATATATTTTAAGACAAAAATTTAATTTACTTATTAGACTTAATCATTACAGTAATCATCCTCATAAAACATATTTTTCTGTTTAGCCATAATAAATTATTTGATGTTTGCACTTACAATCTAAGCACAGGAAAGGTTTTGTTAATTATATCAAATCAAGGTCATTCACAATGTTATTCACTGACAGAGAACTCCATCTATTCCCATGATCACAAGGTTTGGATCTTGTTCTTTGACATTAAAAAAACTGAAGAAAAGACTAGCACTTGCAGAATAATTATTGCCTTTCCCTTTGTTACAGCTAAAGCCTGTGTTCTGGCCACCCTCAAGGTTTACTACAGTTCAGGGTCGAGCGAAGGCATGCACTAGGACTAAGAAGACACACTTGCACCAATTAAGATGCTCATTAATCACTTCCACTCCAGATCTTGCCACAAAATCATAGAGCCTTTGCCCCAAGACTATAGGAGAGTACCTATGCACTTACCATAGATAGAATGAAGGAAGCAAAAGTATTTCTTCAAACAGTGCTTCTCAAACCTGTCCTGGGGACCCCAACCACTGCATATTTTGTATGTCTCCCTCATTTAACACACCTGATTCAGTTCATCAGCTCATAATAATACAAAAAGTGTAGTGGTCTTAAAAGAGGGGAAAAGGAACGTGTGGAAAAGCAGTGAGTTTTGAAAACATACGGTGTATCCAGATATATCAGGCTATCTTGGACAAACATCAAAAAGTACCGTCTGTTTTGATGCACTGGAGCATATAATAATAATACTGCAGGAAAACAAACAGATTGGCAATAAATACATAAAAAGGAAGG